AGTCTTCAGTTTTGATCTGAAAGTATAATTGCATGGTATAGATGTAATCAGAGAAAGGGAGACATTGTTCTAGGCCAGAAAAGTCATGATGATGTCAGATTTATAGCAGTTGTGTTCTAATCCTGGCTTTTCTACCACTTAGTCCGTTTCTTTGGTTAAGTCTTTTATCTCCGTTTTCCTCATTGGTAAAGTTAGAATTTGAGACTTGGGCAGATTTTTAAGGTTCCCTGTGTGTGACTCGATACATTTAGATGCGTTTCATAAGAGAGCTTGCCAACTTAAACCTTCCTGCCACCAGACTATCATGTGACCAAAAAAACAAAGCTTGCAGATACTAATCAAGTAGGTTGAATGCCCAAGAAAACACTTAAAGTGACAGTATGCCATTCAACTTTGTGTTCTCTAAATAGTAAGTACTTGGATACAGAAATGAGGACTATCCTGCCCTGCCAAGATCTCAGATTATATGAAAATAATTATCAAATGTGTACTTTGATATACATTATAGGCAGTGGTAGAGTAAATATAAGGTGCTAATCAGAACAGTTTAGGACACAAAGCCAGATTTAGTATGGGGAGGAAATAGACTGACTCCTGCTTAAAATTATTATCTGTGTAGGTAATACGTTCACAGAGCTCTAAATATACAAGAATATAAACTGAAAGCCTCTGCACCTCCGTCCTCCAGCCACCCAGTTTCTATCCTCAGCATCATTCCATTATTGTGCATTCTTTTAAAGACAACTCTTAAGACTGAATTTTTAAATGGGTGACTTAGGTTAGGTCACTGATAAGAAAAAGGGATGATTTTCTGAGTAGAGGAAGATGACAGTTTGTGTAACAGTGTGGAAGAATGAGATGTCAGATTTGGGAAATGATGTGATTAATTTGACAGGAACCAGAGTGAAGGGCTTAAATGTCATGGTGAGAAATTGAGGTGTTTTGTTGTTGTTTTTTATTTTTTTATCAGAAGTTTATGGTTGCCATTAAAGGTGTTTCTTGAAGCTTTTATTGTTAAAGTAGTATGTATCTTGGAACCATTTCATTACCCTTTTCAGTGATTGTTGTACTTATCTTAATAATGTTGGAATATTTGGTATCCGTTAAGATACTCTACCAAAAGTAGATTTTTATATAGCATGACGTGGAAACTAATCCTATATTAAATACAAACCAAGCTTAAATTTTGTTAGGCCTTATGGATGCATAATCTCATTTCAGCAACTGTAAGGAAGTGTTCCTCCCATTTTTATGGACTAAGGAAACTGACACTTTGAGGATTTGAATTACATAGTTATTGAGTATCATTGCATAGATTCAGAGTGAGGCCTTCTGAGTCCAAAGCCAGTGCTTTTGGATATTTCCAGAGTTAGTTTTGTTTTATTAATTTGCTGATTATGAGACGGAGGAAGGAAAAGCTTCTCTAGCTACTGATATTTTGTGTTGTAACCCTTTACCTAAAGGATATTTTTAATCATTTTAAATCCTTTAGATAATAATGTTGGAGATGGCCCTTGTTCCTCTGCTTACTGTGTTTCCCTGGCTTCTATTTAGAGATCTTTAAAGTTGAGTTTTGACATAAGGGAAGAAAATATTTGCTGAGTTCAGGGCTCATGTACCTCATCCTTTAAGCTCCCACAATGTTTGTAGTTTAGTTTTTAGGTATAGTATATGTCTATGTTTTTCCTCTGTTACAGTTACTCTACAAAGATAGTATCTTAGCAAAGCAGGTAGATATGTGTCACATTCTAGTCACTCTGTGATGTACTACTTTCATGTACTCAGAAATTAACAGGACAGGTTATTTAGTATATAAAGTCAAGGGGGAAAGGATATGTTTTGTTCATTGATTTTGAAAAATGTCTACAAATGAGAGAACATTTTCATTTTTCATTTATGTGGCTGAAATAAATTCGGAATAAACCACACCTCAGTCTTCCTAAGAAGTGCTTTCTTGGCTTTATATTTAGATCAGTAGTTAACATTGACATCAAATATGTTATTAGAAAACTGGTTTCAAATTTTATTTCTTGGGCAAAAGAGAATTTGTGACCACAGTTGAATAAAATTCATTATATCTTTCTAATAAATTTTTATTAATGTCGGTTGCCACTTGGTGCCTTTAGATTACATAGATTGTAACCTTGAAATGATCCCCATTAACAGTGTTTTCCTTGGGCTTTTAATTTCCTCAATTTTATGTCATTCCAAAACAGAAGTCTTTGATGATCAAGCCCTTCAGTATTTACAAATGGCTCTTTTGAAGTTCTTGATCAGCTAGGTTTTACAGACTTGTTTAACCTATGCCTATTAATCAATATTTTGAGAGTAATTGTTGCTATTTGCTAGAAATCCCTCAAGTTTATGGAAAACATCCCTGCTGAAGTATTCCAGAAACCAAAAATGCCATGTTTTATAAAGACTTGTCTAAATGTTTATCTTTGGAATCTAGACTATTTAAATTTTTCTAGAGTACATAGATTGAATTACTCCATATGGCTTCTTCATTTTGAATGTATGTAGAAAGTGATTCACTGCCAGCTTTTGGAACCTAAATCTATTCGTCCTGACATGTTCTGAAGACTTTAGGTTCATTGGTAGTATTTTATTTCATAGGTTCCTTTTTTGCCTCAAGATACACAACTAACTGCAGATATGTTCTTTTTTCACTTCTACATTTGACTTATAAGAAACATTTCATTTTTAGAGTCTGTGCTGTAAAAATGCTGGAGTCTCATAACTTAAGTTACATGATTTCATTTAAAACCAATTTATCTGGCATGAATTTGATTCAAATTAAATATATATGTATGTATTCTAAAGTCAGGGGATCTGAAGGTTTTTTTTTAAAGAATGTCATCCTCATAAATATATTGTAAATACTCTTTAATGAATTTTAAATTCCAGACCTGCAGAATAACCTCTAGGTTTCCTCTTTATTATTTTCTCATATTTACTACTTTCCTCTTTGAGTCACTCTGTTTTAAATCCAAGGTCTCCAAATAGACCTTTGTGAGTAGCAAACTTGTCCTCAGATGGTCCCGGGTAAGCCTGGTATTAAAAAAAGAAGAAGAAAAGAAAAAAAAAAGAAAAGCCAATTGAGTTTTCAGTTGGTTCACTTGTCTTTGATTTAATTTGTTAGACTGATTTCCAGGTAAGCACAGTGGGGAGAAAAGGGCCTGACAAATCTATCTTGAGAGGATCCAAGCTGTTAAACAGTAGTTAGCAGCCTCTTAATCCTTGGTATTAGTAGGTCTTGGACCTAGTCTAGAGAAAAATAGAGAAAGAGTTAAAAGAATAGAAAGGAGTTTAAAGTAGATAGAGCAGGCAAAGAGAAATACATACACTGAAGATGCCAATTAAAGCAGTTGCTTTGGTGATACTCTGGCTTCTAGTGTCTTGTCTGCCATTCCTAATTTTGGATCATCTAAGAGGTACCCTAGTGTTAAAATAAACGCCTTTTAAAAAATGTATTTTTAAAAAACTCAGTAGATTACACAGTAAGGCTAATCTGAATTTTGAAATCATGGAATTTATTGAGCATTTGTTCTGCTTGTTGATCATTGATACTTGATTGGTATTCCAGTAGAATTTGGAAATCGTTTTCTTATTGTACTAGTAATGTAGAGACTGTCTTAAGGTGCTTGTGAGGGTCTCAGAATTGCCATGTTGTATTTGAACTTCATTTTGGTGATAAAATAATAGCCATTATTTGTTGGCCATTGATTATATATACAGGGAGCTTTATATATAGTCTCAGTTCCTTAACCACCCTGCAAGGCTTAGATCATAATATCACCATTTAACTGATAAAGAGACAATCCTGGAGGGGTTAATATTGAACTCTACTGTATGTTTAGCATAGTGGTTTAAGAGCATAAACTCTAGGACCAGATTGTTACCTACTAGCTCTGTGTCATCAGTCAAGTAACTTCTATCTGATCTGTTTCCTTATTGATGAGATGGGAACAATAACACCTACCACTTAGGGTTGTTGTAGAATTGCATTAATAAATGTAAAACACTCAGAATAATGTCTGGTATGTAATAAGCACTTATGTTCTTAACTTGCTGTTAGTTTGCGATAGCATGGGTCAAGGATTTTAGAGGTAATGTGACAAGTTTTTGTTAGCTCCCTAGTGTTGTATAGATTGGAGTTGGGGAACTACGGCAATATGCTGAGGTAGACGGGGAGCTATTAGAAAGCAGGTTTGTCAAAAGGTTAGTTAGTAGTCCCTAAGAAACTACTCCAGAGCTGTGAGGTGAATCATGAAGGCTGGGAGCTTGCCAGGATGAGCCCATCAGTTAAGATTCTATGGTTATAGCCCTAGGGAGTGTGTCTCTAGGGAATGGTAGAAATAGATGGTGATTAAGATGTGGGAGCTTTTACCTCTTAAAGGGGCATTACTAATGCAAGAAATTAGAAAGCTGTCATATAATTGCTGTGCCATGTTTTGCCCTAATCCAGAGAAACCACATGTAAATAAATGGATTATGAAGGTAGAAATCATATCAAGTTCATCCCAGAAAAGGACTCAATTGTTCATCATCAAACCCTATCAAATAGATCTGAATTTTTATACTATGAAGATGTAGTAGCTTAATTTATTTTACATGAATATCATACCTGGGAACAGCTTTGCTAAACTGCTAAATGTTTAGAGACTTATAAAGGCATCTGATACAGAGTAGTAGCGATTAGGCTATGCACTGGTCCCATTCACATGGATACAAACATAGGCGCACACACATAATTGGATGTTATTTTATCTGTATTAAACCCTTTCTTCTAGAACCATAATCCTGAATTATTGTGAGGGTCAGCTAGATTTCATTCGGTTTTTTAATTTCTTTCAAAATGTTTTTAAGCAAAAGTGTTTTTTTTTTATTAAAGCTGTTACACAATGTTAGAAATCTAAAATCTTCCATCTTTTTTTGAAAAGTAGTGATTTTACTGTACTTTCTCAACCTCATTTCCATTTGATTCTTGGATCTCACAGGAATCCTTCAACTGCTTTCTACCAAGCGTTCCATTTGAACACGTTTCAGGAATCAAAGAACCTCTGGGATAGGTATGAATACTTATATATGGAATGCATACATACAAAAGTGTATGCATGAATTGCTTTGCACTGTACTGGTTTCTCATCATTAAACCTAAACTTTATATGTCATTTTAGGGGGGGAAATCATGCGATATCTAGCATGGGACAAAGCAGCAAAATAAACCAAAAGAACAATCTATATTTTAAATAGAATATAAACATACTTTTCTTTTTACTTCACTTTTAACTATATTTACTTTTTTGAAGGATTTACAGATTCTATTGAATTTTATTATATGAAATACCACTTTTCCTTGTATATTTTAATGTAAAAATATATTCTGTAAAATAAACTACAGTTAATTTACTTTTGTCCTATTTTATATGCTTTCCCTGTAAATGCCTTAGTGACTCAAAGCAAAATGTTATTTCATATTAAGAAATTGGAGAAATTACAAGACCAAGGTATCAAAAATAGTCATTGTTGAATCCTGTTGAGAAACTAACATCAAGCTTGTTTGTTAGATATCCTAGACGTGCCTACTTTACTGTTTTGTAAACCCCTAAAACAGTTTTTCTCTTAGAAATGCTATATACATTTTGTTTTTAACTTTTTAAAATATAAAGTCTTAAGAGTTCATTTATAGCAAAAGATAATTTGGTTTATCTTTCTGCTTAACACACATTTTAAGTAGTATATGCTCTGTTCAGTTATTTTGCTGAATATTATCAGTGCTCCATCATTCTGTCTTTAATTAATAGAACAAGCACAAATGCTATTTTAAAAATTCACACAAAGCTTCGTTAGATTCTTTTAACTCTGCCTGGCAACGCATTTGTGTCCTCTGGCATAGTTTGGATACTACTCATGGACTTAACTCCATCTCTTTCATTAGAAAAGAGTATTGCTAAGTGCATGTACATGTCATGTTCAGACATGGTTTATATTGCCTACAAATGGTAACAGTCTTTTAATTCTTAGGCTTGATTTGTTTGTGTGTTACTCTAAAGAGATTTTCTAACAAAACATCTTTTCAGTGAATGTTCCTTAACCAAAAATGTTTTAAAACAGTTACTACAGAGCAAGAACTTCTGAAATTTATAGTACAATGTTTATAATTTCAATTTTGAAATTATATAGCTGTATCAATGTAAATTAAGACATAAATGTAAATTGTGGCATGAAACAAGCATGAAAGTTCAGTCATTCAAAAGGCTTATCCAGTGTAGCCAGGGTGAGTACTTTGGGTTGTACTTTACTTTCCCATTAGAAAAAGGAAAAATAATATTCTGTTTAGAAATGTAATAAGAAATAGTATTGGTTGTATGGTAATTTATTTCAAATAGCTAAATTTTGTAAGCTACCATGATACCATTATTAGTAAGAGCTATTATTTTCATCAGAACAATAAAACAATGTTTTATTTTTTTCTAATTTTGACCTAATATTAAAGGTTTTTGTTTCATAATAAAACAACCATAGAAGTTGCCTACTCATCATTTGTTGTTACAGCCAAATACTCCTTATCTGTTTTCTTTTCTAGATACAGAAGTATTTAAGGTATCAGAAATGAGGCAAGTTGCTGTATCTGTAGTTTCTCATTGGTTGAATGTATTTTCTCTTCTTGAAGCCTGTTATCCAGAGCCAAAACAGTTAATAGTGTGTTAATAGTACGTTAATGCCAAACTATAATCAGAACTTCTATTCTAGATCAGCCATTCTGCACTATAAGTTGGCCCTTTGGTACTAAAGTGACAGGTCCAACCCAATACTAGTGGTTTCCTTTTAACTTGGCACCTAGCTTATTAAATTTTCATTAGAGGGATACCTAGCTAGCTCAATTGGTAGAGTGTGTGACTGTTGATCTCGGGGTCATGAGTCAAGCCCCAGGCTGGGTATAGAGATTACTTAAATAAGATAAAACTTAAAATTGTTTCAATTGATACGAGCAGTAGGTTAGCTTTAATAGTTCTAACTGTATGACTTCAGTTGGCCAATATCTACTACAGACTTTTTAGTAATTAGCAAATAAAGTATTATCGACTATACATTCTTTTTCATTGCAGACAGGGTTGAAGATTTGTGTTAAGCTTTTAAAAATATTAAATATAACTTCTCCTGACTATGTTTGTGTTAGATTTCACCAAATTGCCTTGTTCATTTTTTTACTGTTATAAATTAAGGGTTTTTAAACCATTTTTACTAATTTGGGAAGAATGTATTTTGCAGGAATGATTCTATTAAACAGAACCATTCAAGAGCTTAAGGGACTGTAAATCCTTTACATTATCTACTTAGTTTGAGGTATAAAAATTGCTTATCAGTGTTGACATATACCATATTTCAGGCTCTTATTTATGAAATCATGGAACTCATTTTCAGTAGACAGCTTTTAAGCCCTGTGCCAGTTTTCATTAAACCTGCCCTAAATAGCTGAAGATCCTTGGCTTTGCTTTACTTGAAAGACTGGAATCTTTTTTTTTTTTTTCAGAATTCTTTTAGCAGAGTATCTTTTAATCAAAATATAAGTAATTAATATACCTTTCCTCACATTGACTCAGAGGTCCCTAATGGCTCCTTTGTTTCCTTCCCTATTTAAATTAGAATTAGTAAGTTGACAAGTTTTCCACCCATTTGCTTCTGCCTGTATTTAGAAATTCTCTTTCCATTGATAGCCAATGCTTTATTCAGTTACTGTACTAAAATTGAAGCTACTGTCAAGCCTTCCTTTCCCTTTTCCTGTAGGTGCCATCATTGTTCTCGGTCTTCCCAGTTTGTCATTTGCAGAGTATTCAGGGAATCAGTCAAGCTGAAACCATCTTACTCCAAATAAAAGGACACCTCTTATTCCAAATAAAAGGACAAATGATACTGATAGCTCAAAAATAATACAACCCTTTCTTAGGAAGTGCAGAATGTTTGCATTGATGGTTTATTAAACTGAATAATGTAGCTGTCATAATTAGCTTTCTGGAGATTATCTTACTATAGTGATACCTAGTGATAGTCTAGCCTATTGGCATTTCAGAGTAACAACTTTAAATTTTGACTTTCTACTTCTTTAAAGAACAGTCCCAAACTTAATTATTGGCATTGCTTTGTTAACAGCGACAAAATTAGTTTAGAAACTTACTTTACTGGGGAACAGGCTCTTGTTGGGAGTCCTTTGTCTGCAAAAAAAAAAAAAAAAAAAAAAAAAAAAAGCTGAGGGTAAGAATTTATAGCAAACAAATTTACCCTCTTGTATATAGCAGGTCAGTAAGGTAAAAGAATATTAGGGAGGAAGAAACTTTTGCTCAGGTAGACTAAAGGAAGAAACCAGGTAATCTGTCAGGATTTAAACTTCGTTAATAAACGCTTGCAGTATTTCTGCCTTAATGAAGAAAATGCATAAGTGTAGTTAACAAATGAGTAACAGTTGCTAGGTGTGCTATCCCTGTGAGTTGGCTTGTCCTTCTTTATGATAGCACCACTCTTTAAAGAGATACGAATAAGGAAAGTAGTGCACATGGTTATTATTAACTTAAAATGAATGTCTAAGTTTATGGTCTTTTTACTAGATACCTGATTTCAGTGAAGATGTTTTTTATAGTGATTATTCACTTAATCTATATGTAGTTTAAGAATTACTGGATTTTTTAAAGTTCTTGTTTAAATCAAGCTATTTTGTGTTAGAAAACAAGTATTCAGTATTTTCTATCATTGATCCTATGAAATTTCATTTTTGAAGTTAGTAAATCAGAAATAAGCTGCTTGTATGAGATAATTTGTTTTATTCATCTGCCTAGAAGATTGGGTTAATCTAGTTTTTGAAAGCTCAGTGATAAGACTTTTTAAAAATATTTTTATTGAAGTATAATTTGTATCAGAAAGGTACACAATTTATAAATGTATACCTCAAGCTGAATACACCTGTGTAACCAAGACCCAGCTCAGACACAATATTGTAAGCTCCGTATTTTGTGTCTGTATTTATCTGGACCCAACCAGTCCAAACCTATGTTGTTATAAGGTCAACAGTACATAATTTTGAAGAATCACCATAGTGAATTGCTTTTTTGGAGACTTTACTAGTTAAATATTCTCTCCTTATTTAGGAGACGTTTTATTATAAGTACCTTGAGGATGATATGAACCTGAACTATTTTTGTAAGCACCCCAAACATATTCTCTAATAATTCGTCCTTTAGTACTTACATAATTTATTATGTGATTACATTTTGACCTATTCCAGTTACAGACACCCAGTAGAAGATAATTAAAGACATGATGATGTTAGAGGACAAAGTTTTAGTGACCTGTCACCTTGTAGGACTGGATCTCAGATTTATATAAAAATCTAAGGACATGCTTATAGAATATCCAGACATTAAAGTAGGAAGTTACAGCTATTCTTGGATGATAGCATTTATAAATTTAACAATCTGAAGCATGTGAAGAGATTGAGAAATTGGCAGAACTTGTATGTAAATTCAGGAAAGTTGAAATTTAGGTTAGAATGAAAAAATACCTAAAATGTATTAGTTGCCTGTGTTTTACAGTATTGATCAGCAAGTGATATTGATTAGCAAGTGACAGGCCTGTCAAAAAAGCTAATGTAATTTTAGGCAATCTTTTAATAATTAGAAAAAAGAGGAAAAGTAGTGACAGATGTACTGTATTTGTATAGGTTAGTTACTCTAAATACAAAGGTAACTAGAAACTCTACCTGGGCAGCCAGGGGGTATTTCAACAGAGGCTTTGAGCTTACTTTCTACAAGTAGATGCATTCCTACAAAATAGTCTTGCCATCACTACAAATTAATATTAATACAATTAATAATTTTCTTCCTGGCTATGTCAGGAATGATGACCTTGAATGAGGCTTAAAGCCAATTATTTTTAAAATCCTTATTCTGTAGAATTATTCCCCCTCCCCCCCCACACACACACACTTAGTTCTAAATGGGAAAGAAGAGATAAGAAAAACATTGGAATTGAGCTCCTTGTTTTGTCATTGTTGGCCACGATTATCAGAAAACCTGAA